GGCAGGAAGACTACAAGAAGGGATTTAAAGCTGACAGTTGCTGCCAAGATCCAAAACTCTGCCTCAGATTATTGAAACTATTGCAAGGCCACTCTATAGAAAAACATGTCTATGACTCATTCTCAGCATAGCTGCTGAATAGCAATATGGCTTTATCTTATATTTAGTGCCTCACTTAATCTCAAGAAGATTGTACTTTTGCCCCCGTACAATAATTGCTGCTTTCTTGTTTTAACAAGGAGCAGTTGGATCCTGTCATTCCAAACATTTTAGTTCTAAAAAAATAATTCTGAAGTCCAGGGAAAAAAAACTGTTTTACTTTTATTGTCATATTTTTACTAACAATATTATGTGGAAAGAATCTCAGACTGACTGATTGCTTGTAGATATAACAACAAAACGCAGTATTTTGATTAAGGGAGATATTTATTGTTAATCAACACTAAGCTTATAAACAAAACAATTAGCACTTAACCATTAAATAATGCATTTTTATTTTATTTTTTTTCATATTCTGCTGTCTTTTCAGCTGTTCTCCTCCTCAGATTGTGCATCTAAAATTTTCTATCAATGTTTTTCTAAAACAGCATAATGCTTTAAAAAATACTCCTTTGGCTCAACCATTATTAATGTTGAATTTCTCAACCTTCTAAAGAAAGTGAGAGACATACCACGCTTCATATGTAATCTACACTATACACCACTCGGCTGGCTCCAACTGTTCAAGAACACATTTCAACTTCAGTGTCAACGGTCAATGTTTTTACACCACCTCTAAGTGTGTTTCTTTTTTTTTTTGATAGAGAAAGCTTTCTGCACTTTTGAAGCTCAGGTTGCTGAACATGGCCATAGAAATGACCTGCGAAAAAAAATTCCTAGCTGTTTTTCTAAGTGCAAAACTAACTCCTACACTGACCAAAAGACAGTGCAAATATATATATTCAGCTTCACTAAAGACAGATCTTTTTCATTCATCCTGACCTCAGCTTAGTCGTCCCAAAACATCCCTACATGTGTCTTCCTGCAAACACATTTTCACTTCAAGCAACTGTCAAAATGTATTTGATTTTTTTTTTTTCCAAACATAGAACCAAAGAACCAATAAATATAATTTTGCGTCTGCTCATCTACATGTTTACAATAAATCTTCTGATACAACAAATGCAGTACCAACACATTCTTTAAGGTTATTTTGTCCAAAGAAAGGGTTTTTATGCATTTCATCAGTTAGCAACTTCAAAATCAGTAACATCATCAGTAAAATGCAAAATTTGTCACTATTCATTTCCTTCAACTGAAATAAGACTAAGGCTGTAAAGCAGAGGTCACGGATTAGCGGACCGCGGTCCGGATCCGGACCCACCTGCTGGCTAATCCGGACCCAACCTGATTTAAAACATTTATCATGTTGTCCGACGACAGTGCTAACTTAATTTGCGCCGCTTCTCTTGTTAATATGGTAAAGCCATCCGGAGCGTCCGGGATCAGGCTACACATGATACAAATTAGCCAATGAGCTGTCAGTTTGGATCACTGCTACTAGCTACTTTTAGACACAGCAGGCAAACCTTTGGCAAGCCGTGCGGTGGGAAAGAAGGAGAAGACGAAAAGAAAAAGAGAGCAGAGAAAGCGTGGACTGCTGAAAAAGTTGTTTTGAACTAGTGAAAGAAAAGTAAGATGGCGTGCTCAAAGATGACCCTGCACAATTTGAGTATGTTTGTATCAACCGGCTGCTGTGAAGTAGGATTCCACACCATGAACATAATCAAAAATAAATATCGATCCAGGCTCAAAATGAGCACCTGGATATGTGCTTGAGAATGGCTTTGTTGCCAATCAAACCCAGGTTTAAAGTCCTGCAGGGCAGTGTAAAGCCCGCTTCTCTCATTAAGCCAAAGAAAAAAAAAAGAAAAAAAAAAGGTCAGTTCAGGTGTTTTATAAAATATGTGAATCAGAAAATTGTCTATATACCAAACTGAACGATTGTTCTCTACTTCAAAAAACACTTCAGATTTTTTTTTATATATCTTTTTGTTTAAAAATTCAATGTATAACATAGATGCATTAAAACCTGCTTTTATATTTCAGTGTTATATTCTGTTTAAAGTAACAGATTATAATCAAAAATGTCTCCGGACATTTACTGGTTGATGATTTTGTGTCGGACACCACTGATTTTTAATTGGTTACCCTTGCTGTAAAGTAAAATGTTTTCTTTTACAGTATCTTTAAGTGTTTTTTGTGTTGTTTTTTTTTACTCTAAAGTACCTTTACTGGATGGAGAAGCACAAAAAGACTTAGTAACTTATTAAAAATGTGTTATATCATTAAACAGAAATTGGGACTTTTAATAAGAAGGAAGAATTGGAGTTCTGCTCATGTGTACCTTTTCTGGTTACCATAGAGACAGACTATCTGCGTCCTGAGTCAACTCTGTGACTGACTGGGTGACATTTACTCTTTAAGTTGGCTGCTCCACAGGTCCAGCAGAAAAGACTCCAGAGCAAAATTACTGAGGCATGAGTGTAAATGATGTGAAGCGTAAGAGGAAAGAAAAGGCAGTAGTTATTAAATAGATTACTTTGATCTCATTCTCTTGCCTGTTTTACAGCAACAGCAAGAGATGATTCTAATCCCACAGAAAAGCTGAACCCCCTGGCACAACTTGCGTCTTCACCTGTTACATGTAACAAATCAAGGCCACGAATTCTCCCTGTAGGATGTACTCATCGCTGCTTAGCCAGCATGGAGAGATAACGGCTGATTTAATGATTTTCTCCAACGATGTGGTTTGATGTATCGGCTGACTCTGCGCCTTTAGCTAGTATAACAGGTAAAATCCATTACCCTCCCAACAGCATGATTTATGATAGGTAGTATCAGAAGCTATGGGTCGCCCTTAAACAGCTGATCCACCCAATAGAATTTACTGCTAAATGTTATGGCTGCACACTTGGACTGAGTGTAAAACCCCCCGGCCATCTCATAATGAGAAAGTGATGGTCTTTGGTTGGGGAAAATTTGCTAGGTCCATTGCCATTTCATTTAGCTAGATGTAGAGACACGCAGAAAACACTGATAAAGGGTCCCTGCAATCAGACGCACAAGCGTACACTAAATACAATGAGATCAAAGAAGCAACAATCAAACATTACACAATGTTTTAAAGGGAGGACTGCGCAGATTGACAGTTCGTAGCATTTATTTTCCGCTTTCTTAGGAAAGAGTTCAATTGAGACAAAAGCAGTGTAAGCCACTGCTTGGGGTGCCCAAACCATTAGAGCCTCTGCAAACAATTAAATGTTTACAGAGACGATTGGTTTAAATAAACAACATAAAAAATTATTTACAGTTACCCAGTTTGGTTGCTTTAAGATGCATTTAAATAAATTAGAGCCATTTATCTGGACTCAAAAAAAAAAAAGATAGATATAATATTAATACTTTGATAAATAAATTTGTCAAACAGACAAAAATTATACACAGGTGCAATAAAGACTTTGTTTACCTATTATTAGCCCTTTATCGGCGAAGTAGTTTGTGCTGGCAAATGTATCCAAAAGTCACACTTTTTTAAAGAAAGTCAATAATAAGGTGTTGATTATTCGCAAAGTCACGAACAAATTCCAAATTTGCCTCAGAAAATACTTTGCTTTTTCTTCAAAGTCATTTTAGACTTTTATACATGCTGTTATCCATATCTTATTCTAATGTTGCTCTTAAATCAGCTCCTTTTTACAGAGAGAACCTTGTGTCCCATTAAAAAAAACATTATTACTGAATTCTACTTCAATTTTGCATTGATATCAATTCAAATTAATGCACATTTCCCTGTAACTGTATTTCTTTTCCATCATTACCCTCTTTATAATTTAGTCTTTATGATCTAGGTCACTCAGATCTGTTAAAGTACAACCAAGTGGCAAAAAACATCACAGACAAGCAATGCACTTGAAATATACCCAAAAAAAGGATGGATGGATGGATGGATGGATGGATGGATGGATGGATGGATGGATGGATGGATGGATGGATGGATGGATGGATGGATGGATGGATGGATAGNGATAGATAGATAGATAGATAGATAGATAGATAGATAGATAGATAGATAGATAGATAGATAGATAGATAGATAGATAGATAGATAGGTTTGTCACTGGGGTGAAAGTGGGTTACTGCCTTATTTTGATCTGCTTTGTTCGTTGGACGGCCAAATAGCCTGGAGTGCATGTGGCACTTCGACCATATCACTATGTGGCACACAGGCTATTAAAATGTGCCTGGTGGTCGGTGGAGTGGTGAGGAGGGAACAACACCCCTGACTCTCAACAGAAATGATACACTGATCAAAGGTCTGTTCCTCCCAATTAGGAGCGCGATTCTTCTCCCAATCGTAGGGAAACTATTCTCAAGTGGTTATAACCATTATCCTCGGAAAACTGCCTGGCAAAGAACGCCAAATAAAGAACCCCCCTCCACTAATGATGGCGATTAGTGTGGTGTTTGCGCTCAGGTCGGACCTAAAAAAAAAAAAAAAAACATACGAGAAGGGGTTGATACAATTTGATCGAATTTTCTGCTTCAAAGAACCCTAATGGTATTATAAAAAAAATGCAATCAGCGCATCAGATTGAGGAGTGGAGCGCATGCACTCGTAATGTCGCTCAAGTGCGCTGAGCAGACTTAATGACTTCATGCCATCACTCACTGGAGGCTGGAAGTTGGGTCTCGTCGGATGTGTCTTAATTGAAATGCATCGTCTAATCAATCACGCCGCGAATGCTGAATGTGGGTGACAGATCTGGACTGCTGCCTCTCTCTATCAGCACAGCATCCTATCAACCTGTAACACCTACCAGCTGCAGCTTGCCTATTACGCAGCACAGTGGACAACTTGTGGCATTAACCAAAAGCGTATTAGATGGCTGATGCAAAAACCTCAAAGGCTTCATTTGGAAAACATAAACTTAAAAAGATGCGCAACACATCATCAGTACCTGAGCCAGAGACTTGTTCGTAAGCGCTCGTCCGCAGCTTATATGTCCACAGAGGCAGGTATCTAACCCTCAAACCTCTGTCAAGGAATCTTTTAAAAATCCAGTCGACTGCAAAGGAAGAACTTTCTTCATCAAATTGATGGGATCCAGCGCCCAGCGCGTCGTTTCTTAGATCTCGCAGCACGGAAAGCTCTCCGTTCTAGGTAAAGCGCAGCAGTTCGTCTTGGATTTGGGTCTGTTTTAAAACAAAGCTCGCAAATAAGAATTTTCAGTCCGTATGGAGACCATCATTCCTCAAAATAAATGTATAAATAAAAAAAAACAACAACAAATAAATCATGATCCCTGCAAAAATATGCGCATCCCATTTGTTCCAAGTTTCTCCACACTAAAGACGCACAGGATGTCTAAATTGAAACGTTAGGAATTGCATTTCTGCTACTATAAGAAGCCCATCTGAAGCATTTCCAGTGAGCAAGTGATGAGATACTGTGGGTATGTTAGTTGCTCCCCAGCTCTCTTCTCCAGTCTCTCTCTACTCATCGGAGCGTGGGAGGAGGTGGGGCTCCCACTTCCACCACAGCACACACAGCAACTTCACACTCAACATCACATTATAAGACACGGCTGCCTGTTATGACTAAAATAAAATATACTGCGCGATTCCATACATTTAAAAATACCTCATCAAAGTGGGTCACGTTGGAGCAAAAGCTGGAATGCACCTTATATACGGAACGCGTCATTCAATCCCTGTCAATGATGTTATGCTTTTGCATCTGCAGCAAACTGTAGAAAATGCATCATGGTGTAACAGGTAGTCCAGCAATGATAGTTTACTTGTTGATATGTATTACATATAAGAATGAGTGGTCTAACATAGGAGCTGCTTGGACACTATTTATTCATTTGGCGCCACCCTCAGGCGCCTGTAATAAAAAGAGAGGCAGGATCTGAAGGGGATGTTGGGGAGATGGAATGTAGGTAGTGCTGTGATAATTTACACTCAATAGTTGCGTCTCCAAGGGGGTGTGACCAGGGGAATTATGGCCACCCAAACATTATAGGACCCCAGCCTAAGATTGCTCAACGTTTCAAAACAAATAGCCTTTATAATAAAAGTCTCAACATTTTATATTGTTTATTATTGCAAAAATAGAATCTAAACCACTGAGAAAAATAAACTAAAAAAAAGGGCATGCCATTCTTTCTAAATAAAGTCTAACCATACTTTACCCCCCCCGCCCCTCCCCCAAAAAATAAAAAAAATAAAAAAGAATATTGGAGCAGTATCTATGATTTGATTACTTGGCATTTAAATTATTATATTAGTCAAGATAGAGTAGATTTGATTGGCTTTTCCAAATTATAGGTTTTAACTACTGTCCAAAATTACAGCTTCAATATTTTCCTTAATTCAACTTAATATCTGATTCATTTAATGTATCAAACTAGTTATAATGTGTCTTTTGGTCTTAAATAAAATAAATAAAATAAATAAAACCTCACTATTGTATAGTTTCAAATAGTGTGAAGTGTAAACATATTAAGTTACTTAGCTAGTGATACAAAGGCATTTTGGCATTTCGAAAAATGCCTAATTAGTTTTTCAAAAATATTAAGACCAATAATGTATAAACGTGCTATTTTACCAACTAGACAAAACCTGCAAAAATGAAGAAATTATTTTGTCTTTTAACATAAAGCTTATGAAACTATCCAAAATATGTCATTATAATGTAACAAAACAAGGACACAAACAAAGACAATGCTTTTGCTCATGGCTTTAAATTAGTATAGCTCAGCAGGGAGTAAAATTCATCCCATGCTACAGTAAGTCTCTTTCTTTCTTCCCATTAACAGGCTGATGATAATAACTGTTTAAGCGTAAAGCATTGGTCCAGGAGCAATGCTGGGTGTGCCACCAAGAAAAGCCGTTAGCAATGCACTCCGGAGAAAACTTGATTTCCTGTCTTCCCCCAGCTATGTTCTGCTGCAGCAAGAGTTTATCAGAGTGCTTCCAGTCTGTGATCCTTTACACTCCTCCCCCATCTCTCATTAGTGGCAAACACACAGCTGTTGGGTTACCTCTCCAGGGCTCCCATTAAGGACTGCCACTCAGGCTTACAGTGTCCCTGAGCCAATCATATTAGAGCTCCCGCCCACGCAGCCCCCACTGCCATGCTCCTATTCAACAGTCATTTTAATAACATTTAGGTGCTTTCACAGGTGGGCCCAGAGTGGTCTGAGAAGACAACAGACACAGAGAGGAAGCATTAAAGGGACAATTCAATCAACCCAAAGAATAAATGAGTGGAAATTATTTAGGTAAAGTGTAAATAAGCACTTATTAAATTTGCAAATATAGAAAAATGTAATTATATAGCTAAATATCTAGATTTAAACATTAGGGAGTTAAGATATACATAAATCTATACACAGTTATTGTTCCTTTTAAAAGTGACAAATATTCACATCTATTCCTTTAGTTGATCATTTAGCTGGCAGTCAATTAATTCATTTTTTTTAACAGTGTCCTGTCTGGTAATGTGGCAATAAGAATAATTGTCTTGATGCCAAAAATAGCCCAACAGCTTTTACTTTCACAAGTGGAGCAGTAGAGCTATTGCCATAGTGTTCCGCTTGTTTTATGCATATAAATTGCTTTATTATAATTATGCAGGGAGTTTTACAGATTATATGGACACGCACAGGAAAAAAAAAAAAAAAGATGAAAGAAAGAGGAGATAATGATAAAATAAAAAAAATTATTCATTTTGTTAATTGATCCTAAATATGGTAAATTATCACTTAGATTGGACTATTTGATAAAGCTAAAGTGATGGTTTAGGCATGCAAGGAGTGAACTTTGCACTGGGACAAATATATTTTGAAACAATTGCTGCAAATAAATATATATAATGTCACTTACAATGAATTCCAGTATAAATTGATGATTTAAACATTTCATTATTGATAATTTAACCTGTCAATTTTTAATAACTTTATATATTTCATACACTTAATTATATACATTTTGGGGTCGATGGTGGCTCAGGAGGTAAGGCTTTGTTCTGGGTACCTCCCTAAATTTGGTGGTCAGAGGCACAATAGGGCCAATGTATGGCAGCCCTGCTTCTCTCAGTTTACCGAAAGACAGCTTTGGCTACACTATGGCATGTCACTAGCAGAGTGTAAATTTGTGCATGAAAAGGTGAATGAGTGATGATGTGTAAAGCACTTTAGGGTCATTAGACTTAATTAAGTACTATACAAGTACCGGCCACATGCCATTTATTTTCATTTCAATCCATCTTTTCTGTTTTTGTTTTTTCATTCATCAATTATCTGCATTCAATATTGACCCCTTCGAAAAAGGCGAGTGTGGGTTTGTTTTTACAGCATTATGTGAACAAGTTAAACCCAATTTGGAATTATTAGGAAATTTAGTACCTATGAAAGTTTTGCAATAGAGAGACAAATAGGCTGGAGTAAAAACAGCAGCATCTGTGTGAATCACATGTTCTGGCCCTGGAAAGAAATAATGATGGATGTCTGATTAACTGTCAGTGCCTCCTAAATTTACCTGATGTATCCATATCACAGCGATGACAGTCAGAGGATCTTTGTCAAGTGCATTCAAATTGAATCAAAAAGGGATGAAAGCAGTAGAAGGGCTGTAAATCAGCAGCGGATATTGTCCAGCTTGTAATAGAGGGGGTGTGCACTGAAACACCGCTGCATGCAATATCTTTATTAGCCACCATAAGGAGCACAGCCTGGGGTGACTTGTGGTTATGTTTTGACTAAATGAGGAACAAAACTGAGAACGGCATGGGTGAATAGAAAGAGGAAACTCAGAAGCAAGGCCAAAAATGACCTGAAACCCCAAAAGAGTTTCTACCTACCAGGCAGTATTCAGGCAGAAAATAAAAGTCTTACAATTTTGTTCCTTTTTTTTTTTCTAAAGCTTACTTAGGCTATCCAAGACATTCAGTATGCTTCAAGTTCTCTCAGAAATATTCTTTTCAAGTTCCATGTACATGTACGCCTATTGATGCTGAAACCTCAAAGCTTGTAGACCATAACACTCACTAGACAGTCTGAGTCTTAGAATTCTAAGGTCAGGGTTTGTTTGCTGTAACAGCATAAAACACAAAAATGTGATCAATACACATTCACATCCATTTTATCATGACATACCCGGCCATGAGGACCTTTCATGTCTCTGTATTTATTTTACACATCAGATATTCAAAAAAAAAAAAAAAAAAAAAGAGAGAAATACAGACAAGTTTGAAAAGCATATCCAAACCGAATGAAAATTGGCTAAAAGAGACAGAAGCAACATTCCTCCATGTTAGAGTGTTGTTTGACCTGTATTATATCACCAAAAGCTTTTTGTATGTATTTTAATGACGTAAAATGCAGTGCCATTTCAGGTGCAGGTATGTCTCTAATAGATCTTCACATCTTGAGAGGGAAATGTTTACTATTCTTTTACACAAAAGACCTTAAGCTCAGCTGACATTTGATGGAGACCAGTGGAAAAAAAGACATTTCTTGCCACCATTTTGAAGCAGTATTAAAGGAATAGTACACCCAAAACATGATTAGCCTTCATTTTCTACTCACCCCCATGCTGAACAACACTCTGGAGTACTTTTTTGA